CTCTGGGACAACTGTAAGTGTTCCAACATCTGAATCATAGGGCTGCCAGAAGGAGAAGAGGAAGAGCAAGAAATTGAAAACTTATTTGAACAAATAATGAAGAAAACTTGCCCAGGCTGGTGAAGGAAATAGAATTTCAGAAAGCCCAGAGAAGGTCAAAGAAATTGAACCCAAAGAGGAACACACCAAGGCACTTCATAATTACATTACCCAAGATTAAAGTAAAGGAGAGAATCTTAAAAGTAACAAGAGGAAAAAGGGGACAATTACCTACAAAGGAGTTCTCATAAGACTATCAGCTGATTTCTCAAAAGAAATCTTTCAGTCAAGAAGGGGCTGGGAAGAAATATTTAAAGTCATGAAAGACAACGACCTACATCCAAGATGACTCTATCTATCAAAGCTATCATTTAGAATGGGAAAGCAGATAGAATGCTTCCTACATAAAGTAAAGTTAAAGGGGTTCATCATTACCAAGCCCTTATTATGTGAAACTATAAAGGGACTTACCTAAGAAATAGAAGACCATAAACTATGAACAGTAAAATGACAACAAACTCACAACTATAAAAAACTGAACCTAGAAAACAAAAACAAAAACTAAGCAAACAACTAGAATAACAATAGAATCACAGAAATGGAGATCACATGGAGGGATATCAATGGGGAGGGGGTGCTGGGAAGAATGGGAAGGAAAAGGTACAGGGAGTAAGAAGCATAATTGGTAGGCATAGAATAGATGGGGCAGGGGTGGGGGTTAAATAGAGAAGTGTAGGAAATAGAGAAGGCAAAGAACTTACATGTACAACCCAAGACATGAACTAAGGAAGGTGGAGTGCTGGAGGGTGGGGGGGTGTAGGGTGAGGGCAATAAAGGGGAGAAAAAGAATTGGGACAATTGTAATAGCATAATCAAAAGAAACTGATTTTTCTTAAAAAAACAAGAATAAGGATCGATTTTAATGGCTTAATGTTTTTATTAAAAGACTCCCAACCACCTGGGAAAAATTGAAACAGATAAAGGAGACTGAAAACTCCACCCTGACACAGTGTGAGCATCCCATGCCTTTCTTCTATGCATTAATGTTGGTCCTGACCCACTTTCTGTGAACCAGGTAATGGAAATGTACCACAACAGTCCAATCTGCTCTGGTTGACCGATTGGCAACATGGAGAGGTTATCTGTTTTGGGATGATCTTCTCTAGAAGAAACTCTTAGGGAAAGCTTACTGTTAAATATTTGTTATGCTTCTCTATCCATGCAAGATATAAATTGATCACAGCATCCTTCCCACACAGTTGGCACTTGGGGCTGGGTCTCTGAGTGTCTCTCAATACAGAGCTCCAAAAAGTACTGCCAACTGAGGGATCTGGCTGAGAGGTTTTCCATCTTAGTCCTAAGGGTGTGCTGGGCTGAGGCACACCCATGACAACTTGGGAAAACAATATTTGTCCCACTAGGTGGTGGACAAAAATGACCTGACTCCACATACAAGTATTTCTTCCCCTTTAAAAATATTCCTTCAGAATCTCTCATGTAAAATTTTACAGATGATTTTACAGTCATCTCTAAAATCTTCTCAGTTATGAGAAACTTCGAACTACGAGAACTCATTAAGTGTGAATATTAATTGTCCTGAGCTCTTCAGAGAAAGAGGTATTATAGAAATAAATATTTTAGCTGTTTTTTAAAGTTGTGAGCAAGTTTAATATTTATTCTCTGTTAGTTGTTTTTTGCATGTTGGTCATAAAATATTAATGTGTGCCCCTCCATCTTCAGCACCTTTGCCCTCAACTTTGGGTCACATCAAATTCCAATTTGGTTTCCATCTAAGGTACCCAGTGTCCTCTCTGTGCCCTTGGATGGTCTTGAGCTGAGCATTGCACCTCTCCTCTAGCTGTTTCACTGTCCCCACTGACTTGCAAGGTAATGTGATATCTATTACCTTTGCTCCATTACCAGGAGCCCAGTGAAAAAGCTCTTTGTACCCCTGGTTGCCTTAGCCATGCTTTTTTCTTGATCTCCACAGAGGGACTTGCACTTAGCAAAGGTAGGTTCAGTTCATTAGTAGGGAAGACCCAGCCAATGAGCTGCTGGGACTTCAGCACATGAGGTGGCTGAGACAGGATTTTATGCCTTGGTGAATTCAAGGGTAGCAGAGCTGGCTTAATGGAATCTCTTATGCGTCTCTACATTTTCATTTTCTTTTATTTTTATGTAGCTTAAACATAAGTAATAAGCTTTGAGATGGGAATCTGAAGTGACAATATGCTTTATAAATTAGAAATTGAGTCACTGCAAGTGGTATATGCCTAGAAGTCATAAAATGTGCTCATTTTGTTGGATAACTTTCCCCAGTGCTCACTATTTGCACCTTCACAGCCACTATTCTGGAAAGCTATTTAGGTAATTCTGAAAACTGTAGTCATCAGATAATTAAAGCTCTCTGCGGAAAGGAGAACTAACATTCCAGTTTTAAAAAGAAAAATCTCTTGACAGATTGACTGCTCGTGTTGAGGCCCCTGTTATATTATTGTTCTTAAAGATTCATGTTAAAGTTGAAAGGAAGAGTCAACACACTTAATTTTGGGGAGACATATAAAAGAGGATGACCATAGGTAGGTTTACTAGAAATATCTCTGAATGTTTTAAAAGAAATGTGACCACTTCTGTGTATTCATATATACAAAATATCTTTATTCTATAAATTGCTGGATGGAAGCAGCTGGCTTTTCTTAGCAAGGAAAGGGAATCACTGAGTTTTGACATTTAATAACATAATTTCCTCTCTGCAGGGTTTGGTTGGGCCCCAGTGCCATTAGGTATCATTTTATTTCTTGTTCCAGGTTGCTGTCATTCCATGGCATGGCTCCTTTACTTTTTTTGTGGGCTTTTGCCTGTGGGCAAATCAACACAGCTCTGAAAATCCCACACTTCTGGAGCTAATTATTAAATCTCTATTTCAATAACTACCAGTCATCTCTGCTTTCCTAATAGTGACTTATTTCAATAATTGACTTCTGCTATTAAACTTTCTTCAAATCTTACTTTGATCTTATTCTATTGATGTAGTCTAGGTGCACTGGGGAACTTTTGCCAGCTGAAAAATCTCTTTTCTGGTCTTTCCGCTCATCCTAGCTCATCATCCACCAGCATTACTAGCAATGCTAAGGAGATGTTAAAGTTTAACCATTGAAGTGGGTCATCGCTTTGGAGAGTGTGAGGACCACTCTGTCCACAGGGGAGAAGTGGTCCTTCATGTGAAGGACTGAGGAATGCGTTACTGCAGTGCACATAAAGCCATGGACCTGGGGCCTGGGAATGAACAACAGTCATCAATAGTAATTGTGATGGTGATGCTACTTGTCTTAGGTGGAGATGTGTGTGCAGGAAGTTAGGAAGAGATCTCAGGAATAACACTTAAAATAAAGGAGACAGGATTGGGCAGAGGAAGAAGTTGAAATAAGATGAAACTGCAACATAAGGTTCTGCCAATTCTACTTCAAGCTCGAGAATTGGATGACCCTTCAGAGTTGTCCTGAGTTGAGTGAGGCAAGGGGGTTGGGCGTTGACAGCCATTATGTACTGGTTGAATAAGACTGCACTATGAGAAGAGTATTATTGTTGCTCTCATTTTATAGTTGGGAAATCAGAGCCTAGTGAGATTAAGAAACATGCCTAGTAGGATGTGGTTAATACATAGCAAAGGCTGATTTTGAATGCAGAGCTGGGATAGAGTATGTGCGTGTCTAACTTTTTCTGTTGTTAAATTACTTACCACTTTACATTCCCAGCAAATGTGCATTCGAATCTTATTTCTTGACGTCCTCTACAATACTTGTTATTATCAGATGTGAGTATTTTTGCTTATCTGATGGGTAGGATGTGAATATTACATTATAGTTCTTATTTTCTTCTCTGATGTCAACTCTTGGTAGCAGGTATTATTGTTAATATTGTGTTATAGTTGGGGAATCAAACTCTTAGAAAATAATTTGTCCACGGCTTCACATTAGTAGGGGACAGGAAATCAGTAATGACCATGGAGTATCTAACTCTTGAGCATCAACATTCTAGCTTACACTTCCCTGTTAAGCCAGGATGTGTTGTTATAAAGTGGAAACAGCACAGGGAGTCGTTTTTCTCTTTATTCTGTGCTCTTCCAGTACTGTGCTCGCTATCTGAACTTTTTCCTATTCACCTTTTTTATTCTTTTCATGTTTCTTTCCTCTCATCATTTTCTTCCCTTCTCTTCTTTATTCTTCAGTCACTCTCTCCCTTAGTCCTTCCTTTCTTTCATCTCCACATTTTAAAAAGTGATTTTAATGGGATTATCCTGCATGGCTATGCATAGAATTTTAAAAAATGAAGTAAATAGGCCTAATAAAATCTTGAGATATTACCTGATTTTTTTTATACTGCATGTGAAAAAATTACAACCCACACATATCAAGGTTGAAAGGAAAAGATACAAGCCGAGTGCATTGGCGTGTGTGTAATTTGGAAATGACTCTTAGCAGAAATTCTTTCTGGAGCAGCTGCTTCTGATACACACCACTTGTCTTTTATAATTAAAACTAAATGTAAGCTTCCTTATGAAATGAAATTATGCAGTAAATTTATAATTAGCAATAAAATATAAAATGGAGAGTTGCCCCACCATTCATTCCTGCATTAACTTTTCTGTAAATTTTTTAGGAAAATTCTATTTTTAGCTGAAAGGGAATGACTGCCTAAGCAGGTAATGTGAGAAATATCATTGCAAAACAGAATATAAGCTCAGAATGTTCTAAACCTTGCAGTTGGAAGAGCAGTGAAGCAAATTGAACTTAGTCACCAAAGCACCAAGTTCAGCAAGTTTCTAGCCCTCAGGCTTTGCTACAAAAAAGATGCAAGAAATTGAATCAATATTTTTAGGTAAAATATTAAAGTTTTGATTTTGTCATGCTGCTTTTCTTTTTTCTTTCACCCAAGGACTTTTTTTTTTTCATTACTTTTAGAGAGAGAGAAGAAGGGAGAGAAAGAGAGATGAGATGAGAGAGAAGCATTGATTGGTTGCCTCTTATAAGCACCTGGACTGGGAATCAAACCTGCAAGGTAGGTATATGCCCTGGCCAGGAATCACACCTACAACCTTTCAGTTACTGTATGAAGTTCCAACCAAATGAGTGACACTGGCCAGGGCAAAGTTTTGGTTTTGTCATGTTGCTTTTTTTCTTACCTAAATAGGAAGTTTCTCTTCTGTGCCTACACAGCGTCTCTGCATCCTTAGGACAATTTGCCTCCCCAAAGCTTTTTGGTTTATATGGTTGCCACCATCACAAAGTGAAAGATCCTTGACAACAGGGCCCATGACTTTTTCATCTTTGAGTCCTTACAGAAATTAGCACCTTGTCTGACACAATATATGATTATTGAATTAAGTTAAACTGAATTCAGTTCCGGTAACAACATATGATTGCTTTCTAATTCTGATCGTGTCTGTGAAGAACTGGCCCTCAGCACATGATGAACCCTACTGATTAAAGCAAATCTCTTGATCTCCATAGCCCCAAACTCAGGAACACAGCACTGTTAATAGAAAAATCAAAGTGTCCTAGTGGGATATTAGTAGTGAGTTGTGGTGTAGGTTAGCAGATATCTGGTAAGAGCAATTCCATTTCCTGAAAAGGTCCTGAGGAAGTGACGATGGTGCCTTATCCTGGGTAGGTAGATTTAGTCTTGCACAATTTCCCCCCTTGAATGAGGATTTATCAGAGTTTTGGGTTGGGGGCAGATTGAAAAGAATATTTGGAAGTAAAATTTGCAAAATTTCTCAAAACATGCCAAAGTATTAAAACATATCACTAACTAGTTATTTTTACTTAACTTATTTTTTACATCATTTTTAATTGTATTTGTCTCTTCTGTATTCTCTTCCAACCCCACCCACCTCCCTCACCCCCACAATCACCACACTGTTGTCCATGTCCATGAGTTCTTTCTCTTTTTTCCCTTCTTGCTAATTCCTCCACCACCCCAAACGACTCCCCACTGAGCCGTCAGCCCATTCTCTATGAGTCTGCTTCTATTTTGCATGTTAGTTTAGTTCATTAGATTCCACAGATGAGTGAAATCATATGGTAATTTTCTTTCTCTGACTGGCTTATTGCACTTAGCATAGTGTTCTCCCGGTCCACGCATGCAGTGGCACTGGGGTAGGAACAGATCAACTTGTTTATCTGTTCACGTATTGGTAGATATTTGTATTGTTTTCAGTTTTTATCTATTATGAATGGAACTTCTGTGAACATTCTTGTGCAAGTATTTACATTCTTGTAAATGCTTAGGAGTAGAATTGCTAAGTCTTATGGCAAGAGTAGGTTTAACTTTGTAAGAGCTTGTTACACATTTTTCCAAAGTGATAGTTTGATTTTGCATTTCCACCAGCAATGGTTAGAATTTTAGTTGCTCCACATTCTTTTCAACATTTGGTATTGTAATATTTGAAATTTTAACTATTCTAGTGGGAACAGTGAATCTTCAATGTACTTTTAGTTTGCATTCCCCTTATCGCCAATAATGCTGAGCATATTTTTTATGTGCTTATTGTACATTTGTCAAATTTTTCTTGAGTTGTTTTTCTTCTTGTATCTAAGTTTAAAAGATCTTATATAGTATTTTGTATACAAATGCTTTGCCCCATTTATGTTGTCTTAGGGTTCTCCAGGAAAAAAAAGAACCATTAGGATATTTGTAAGAGGAGGTTTATTATAGGAATGGCTTACATGATTATGGAGGTGGAGAAGCCCCAGGACCTGCCATCTGCAAGTGGAGAACCAGGAAAGCTGGTAGTGTGAATCCACACTTGAGGACCCCAGAGTGGAGGGACTGCTGTTATACCTCATTCCACCCTTTTACTTTTAACATATCTGTGGATTTCATTTTTAATATATTTTATTGATTATGCCATTACAGTTCTATTTCCCCCTTCGTTCCCTTCCACCTGCACACCCCTCCCCCACCATTCCCCCCCTTTAATTTATGACCACGTGTCTCAAGTTCTTTAGGTTCTATATTTCCCATACTATTCTTGCCCTCCCCCTATCTATTTTCTACCTACTGTCTATGCTACTTATTTTCTGTACCTTCTCCCCCCTTCTCCTTCTCCCACTTCCCTGTTGCTAGCCCTCCGTGTTATCTTCATTTCTATGGTTCTGCTCCTGATCTAGCTGTCCTCTTAGTTTGCTTTTGTTTTAGGTGTGGTTGTTAATAACTGTGAGCTTGCTGTCCTTTCACTGTTCATGTTTTTAATCTTCTTCTTTTTCTTAGGTAAGTCCCTTTAACATTTCATATAATAAGGGCTTGGTGATGATGAACTCCTTGAATTTGATCTTATTTGAGAAGCACTTTATCTGTCCTTCCATTCTAAATGAAAGTTTTGCTGGATAGAGCAATCTTGGTTGTAGGTCTTTGGATTTCTTGACTTGGAATACCTCTTTCCAGCCCCTTCTTGCCTGTAAGGTGTCTTTTGAGAAATTCGCTGACAGTCTGATGGGGAACTCCTTTGTAGGTGACTGTCCCCTTATCTCTTGCTGCTTCTAGGATTCTCTCCTTCATTTTAATCTTGGCTAATGTAATGATGATGTGCCTTGGTGTATTCCTTCTTGGGTCCAACTTCTTTGGGAATCTTCCTGGATTTCCTGGAAGTCTATTTCCTTTGCCAGATTGGGAAAATTCTTCTTTATTATTTGTTCAAATAAGTTTTCCACTGGTGGCTGTTCCTCTCCCCCTTCTGGTACCCCTATAATTTGGATGTTGGAACGTTTAAAGATGTCCTGGAGGTTCCTAAGCCTCTCCTCATTTTTTTGAATTCTTGTTTCTTCATCCTTTTCTGTTTGGTCATTTTTTTTCTTTTTCTGGTCCACTCCTTTGATTTGAGTCCCAGTTTCCTTTCCATTACTATTGGTTTCCTGTGCATTTCCCTTCATTTCAATTAGTTTAGCCTTCATATGTTCCTCTAATTTGTGACTAAAATCAACCAGTTCTGTGAGCATCCTGATCACCAGTGTTTTGAACTGTGCATCTGAAAGTTTGGCTATTTCTTCATTGCTTAGATTTATCGGCTCTGGGGCTCTGAGTTGTTCTTAAGCCATGTTTTGATCTGTTCATGCCTGTTATGTACGAGAAGGTGTTCACCAGGGTGGGGCCACCCAGGTCACTGGTTTGTGATGCCGTATGTAGGGACGGGGTCAGAGAGGGACAATGGCGGTCCCCTCTGCCACTTTCTGCCACTGGGGCCTGCACGGTCTGTCTCATCTCTCACTCCTTCACCAGTTTATCTGCGCGCAAATGTGTGACTGTGGTCAGCCCTCAGTGAGTCCACCGCCTTGAGCCCTCAGTGGGTCTGCCCACTACTCCACACCTGGGATCCACCCACAGCTGCCGGCGTGCCTGGGTCATGTGCCTGGGTCGGTCCAGTGGATCTTTCCTGCCTGACCCCGCACTGCTACTGGCTCTGCCCCTCTTACCGGTTTGGCTGAAGGGTTCGTTGTTGTCAGACTTCCATATAGTTCAATTTTCTGTGGTTTGGCTGCATTTTTGTTGCTAAAACTTTGTTATTTTTAAACTTGGTTGTGTGAGAAGGCACAGTGCTTCCACCTACGCCTCCATCTTGGCAGAAGTCCCTCTGTGGATTTCTTTTAAACCACTCTGATAATCTCTGCCTTTTAGTTAGAGTGTTCTAGTTATTTACATTTAATATAATTATTGATATGGTTAGATTTAAAGCTATTATTTTGTCCCTGTTTTTTATTTCTCCCATTTGTTCCTTTTTTCCTCTTTTGAGGAGGGTCAATTGATTATTTTATAATATTTCATCTCCACTATTAACTTCTTAGCTATGTTTAGGGTTTTTTTGTTGTTGTTTGTTTGAGGTTGTTTTGAGTTTAGATGTACATCCTTTGCTTATCACATTCTACTGGGGTGACAGGGTTTGCTGCCCTTACCCAGTTCCACAGAAGAGAAAGTTTTCAGTGGACTTTGTGTCTCCTGTCTCCCACCCTGCCCCAATTTTTCTTATGTGGATGTCTGTGGAGAACTGCAGAGAAGTGTGAACTCTCCTTGTGCCTGAAACTCCATGGTTCTATAATATCGCAGTATTCCACACAGAGCCTTTAGCAACTTGTTAAGAATTTTAGCTGAATTCTTCTCGCCTGCTTGTTTGGTGCCCAGTTTTTCATCCTCTCATACTCTGCCATAAATAAGCAAGTGCTTCCATTTCCTTGGAAGCTCCTGTCTTTCCTTGGCTTTTGATCTACTTGGTTGCTTTTTGATTTCAGTTCTCTGATGTGTTAAAGAAAGTAATGAATTTGTACTTTACCATATTTGTACTTGGAATGACACTTTTTCAGCCACATGCTAGGCAAAAACAAAACTCTCATAATAGAGTAACCTTTATGCAGGAATTAGTAAAGGAAAAGCTGAGAGGCCAAATGGGGCCTGGTGAGCAACTCAAAGATTTGTAACATCAGGAAGCCTAGGATGGAGAGACATGGGGGGAGGTGCTGTTCAGCTCAGTAGCCAGGGTAATGAAGCAGAACCTAGAACCATGGGAGACTTGTCTGGCAGGAGCTAATGTCATTGAGGAAACACAGTGCTTGAGATGAGACAGTGCTTGAGATGAGACCTGAAGCATAGAAGGAGGAGAAAAATACTGTATTTTCTCTTCCTCTTGCTATTTAGCTTCCTGACAGTGCCACCCATTGGCCAAGCCATCTGTTTTCAATTGACAGGGCAGCCTGAGGAATAATGCCTGCAGAGATCAGATATCTCCCTTATTAGAGAGAAGAGAACAGGTGGAGGATGAACTATAGAGCTTAAACACCTAATACCAGCACAGGTGTTTATCCTGTGTTTCTGAAAAGCATGTTTATGCTATTTTTTCAAATTTAGAATTTATCTATTGACAATTTATCATTAAAAATTTGATTCTCTTGAGGTTTTTCCATCCCCCAAGTTAAGCTTCCTTGATTTTGCAAATAGTGTTATGTTGCAATTTTTGTCTAAATAATAAGTGCTGTATTATTATGAATAAGTATGCAAATGATGTTCACAGC